GCGAGCCTCGCCCCGCGGGCCTCGGCCGCCAGCGCCATCCTCGCGGGCAGAGGGAGGGGGGGGGGATGGCACAGCACCCGCCCGACGGTGGCAGGGGGGGGTGGCGACGGCTAGTGCGACGAGGACCCCACCGACGGCGGCGACGGGGACGGCGGTACTAGGGGCGGTTGAAACCAGGGGCGTGTGTTTTTTGACTTGGCTGATCCCCTGACCCGAACGAGTCCAAACGCACCGCCAATCCCACTCGGAGTGGCGCTTAGGACAACGTTGCGGCCCGCTGGCGTTGGCCCAGGAGGGGATGAGGAGGCGCGGAGGAGAAGGGCGAGGAGAAGGATGAGGAGGAGGATGAGGGAGGAAGGAGGAGGATGAGGAGGAGGGAGGAGGAGGGAGGATGAGGGAGGGGGATGACCTAAGCCCAAGGTGACCAACGTTTCCTTCCCACACCTACTGTTTAAGCTGTCATACGTGCTCTTCGCCCGCGTCGCATAGCATTGCATAGCATACGCATGCACGTTGGATCAGTCGTGGTGCATTGAGTCGCTCACGAGGCTCTCTCGGGGCAGCTCAGGGGCCTGACTGACAACGCAGCCGATGGCAATTTAGAGTCGTAGCGGTTGGCATCGCAAGCACCCGTCCTTTCGGTGTCTTATTGAATATACGTTGGGCGCCCACTGAGATTTTGATGGGCCCACCTTGAAGCCCTTGTGGTGTCATCTTGGGGGCACCTTCGCGGCCTCAGGGGGTTCTTGGGGGTGGGCATCCTGGTGGCCTTCGGCGAGACAGTGGTTCGCAGTGTCATCGCATCGGTCGCTTCGTGAGCTTATCGCACGCCCCCATCCTTGATGGCTCAATCGGGCCCTGCTTGGAGACGCTATCAAAGATCAACCGTCGCCCCGCTCCCCCTCTACCTTCCCACCCCATCGCGCACTCCACTCACCCCCAATGCTTCGATGCGCAGCCCTGGGTGGTATCCCGTGGGAGGGGGAGGGGGGGGCGGCAACCCCGCAGATAGTATCAAGGAGGCATCGGCATCTCTCATAATACAAACGCGCGTCTAGCAAGATCGAGGCAGGGCGGCGACGAGGCGCGATGACTCGAGGGAGGAGGAGGACGTGGAGGGGGAGGTGGGGTGAGTAGCATGCGGTGGGGATATGGTTTGGTTTGCTGCACCCTGAACTGCAAAAACTAAGCGTGCCTAGAAACCCTGGGACTCATGGTAATGGTGGGCATGTTACGCTCCCAGAGCTCTTCTTCTCGAGCTCGTCGGCCGCGTCCGCGGGCGCGTCAGTTGGGCAAGGCGGCTCAAACTGAGCTGGCGCGCTTCCCTGCTGAGGCCTGTCCAACAACGCCAGAGGCGATGCCCCGCCACTCGGTGCCGAAGACGCCTCCTGGCCCCCTGCGGGCGACATGGGCAGCTCTGCGAGCGTCCTGGGTCGCGGGCGAGGCCTCATGTCGGCGAGGGCACCGCTCCCGTACGCGAGGGCGCCGCTTGCCGTGCCCGCGGCGCCGCTGTGACCCGTGAGCATCTGCATCGCAGGGAGCAGCAACGATGCCATCTGCGTCATGACCTCCACCGGTGCAGGCTGGATGCCCTGCTGGAGGTTCAGCACGGGGACTGCGGCGTTCGGCGAGTGGCTCGAGGGAGCCGCACCGTCCTTGAAGGCCTTGTGGGTCTTCCTGTAGCCCCCCATGCCCAAGCCGCGCTGCACTTGCGGCACGACGGGCCCAGCGCCACCGCCGTGCGCAAAGGCAACCAAGTCAGCGCCCAAGTGGGAAGGGAGCGGCGGGTAGGTCCTGATGTGGGCGAACGCGTGCCTGTGCTGGCCGTCGAGGGTCTTGATCGCTGACTGTATGTTCGTCGCTATGGTCTTGAGGTCATGCGCTGGCTTCGCATTGACCCGCGGGTCACAGTCCATGATGATGCTGACGGCTGCTTTCAGAAGCCGCTCGCTTGGGCACGCCATGCCCAAACGCCACATACGGCTTGCCAGTACGGCAACCTTCGGAGGCTCAGCCAAGTTCCCGTCGCGCAGGGTCGCCCAGTCCGGTTCGGTCAAGTAGTGGTCGAGGTCGTCACAGCGTTGCTGCGGCCTCGCGGCAACAGGCGCACCTGGCCCTGACGCCGCTGCGTTGCCCAGCGCAGCAGCCATGGCCTGCTTCTGCTCATCCGTCCACGGGCCGATCGATACCTCGGCCGAGATGGTGTTGACGTCGACCATGCTGACGGTGCCCATCTGGTTGATGTGGGCTACCAAGGCGTTCGTCTGGCTCTGCAGCAGCGTGGCAGGGCCCAATCCGTTGCGCACCTGGGCCTCCACGAACTGAACGCGCAGCCTGAGGGTGTTGACCATCGCATCGGCCGCCGTCGCGGCCATGCAACCAATGCAGTCGGCAAACACTGGGCAGCCTGAGTAGCGACTGCGAATGATGACAAGCAAAGGTTTGAGCCAAAACGGCTGCCGACTACTGACTGACACGAGCGAGGGAAACTGTAGCCAACCGCTGAAATTACACAGGCCTGAGGTGCACTCCGCCGTCAGACACGTGGGGATGTGGCACCTGTGAAGTCATTGTTGCTACCCAGAACTCACGCCTGAGGTGGTTACCGAAGGCCCCAGCAGCGCCACCGCGCGCCCTCTAGCGAGAGTGACGGCACGTACGGCCTGCCAAGAGATGCTATGGGATGACTGCGACTCGACTCCACTTAGGCACCCCTGGGTATGGCACCCCAACGTTCCAATCGCCAGCTGGCGATTGGAACACGTGTTCCAATCGCCAGCTGGCGATTGGAACATGCCTAACAAGCCATGTTGGCGTTCCAATCGCCAGCTGGCGATTGGAACACGTGTTCCAATCGCCAGCTGGCGATTGGAACACATGTTCCAATCGCCAGCTGGCGATTGGAACATCGGGGCCCCCCCCGACACCTCTGTGCGGAACGAGCCCCGCCGCGTCCGACGGACGCCGCCAGACGGCGCACATGGCTGGACATTGCAGGCGTTTCAGGGGCTCGCCACAACCTGAACGGAACGGATTTGTGCATGGGTCATGCGTTGTGGGCGTTAGCAATCAGGTCCGAGACGATACAGATCACGACTAAGTTCGGTCCCTGGGGCCGTTCAGGATCGACGTGGAGAGGGTGCGCGGGTGGTCGCGACAGCGAGTATAGAACCCCTCAAACGCGCTAACCTTTGCTATATGTGATGGGAACGCAGATGTTTCCCTAGCGCGTTCTACTCCTTGCTATCTGCATGGTTTACTCTGCCTGGCGGCTGCACTGGCACAGCCACGTCGACGGCACTGCCGATGCCCCCCCTAGCACCAGCGAAAACTACAAACTGACGGCTGTTACGCGCCACTCCCTAACGCACAACCTACCCATCATCAGCGATCGCGGAGTTCCGGCACTGTAGGTGGTTCCGAGTGGTGCTCCAACCGAAAATCTGCGAGTGAAGTGGCCGCCGTGGCCAGGCGGGTGTCGAAATCCTCGGAGTCCGCGGGGGCGGGGATGCTGTGGGTTCTCCATTTGCCTTTCTCCTTGCAGTAGTACCGCGTCCTCGCTGACGACCTGTGCGGCAACCAAGCGACGTGCTGAGGCAATGAGCCGACGTCGGCGATGCAATCACTCTGCTGCGGGGAAGCCTTCTTGGTCAGGAGAGCGAGGGCCTCGGGCGTGCACTCGACGGCAAGCTTGCTGCGGTGCTGGGCCGCGGACTGCACGCGAAGCGCGTGGATCGTGCCCTGGGCGCCCTTCACCTCCACGGTCAATATGGAAGGGATATCGTCGACCATATCGCGCCTTGGGCGTTTTGGCAAGTTGTTAGGGCTGTCTCCGTTGCTTGATGATCCGCTGCTCAGCGGATCGCTCAAGGGCGCGAGCGAGGCCATCTGGCGATCCACCTCGGAGTTCCGCGCATCCACGATCGCGTTGAGCATCGACATGTCGGACTTCACGAAAGACTTGAACTTGGAGCACGTCCTGTCCACCAGCACATGCACCACGCCATCAACCTCTTTGGTTTCAGCTACCAACGACGATGGGATGCTCTGGTCACCGTCCATGGAGACGCTGATGAGGTCGCGCCTGATGTGCGCCATGACCGAGCGCAGCACTTGAAGTCCACAGCTGGCACCGCCGACGGCTGACGAAACACACTCGAGCCAAAATGGGCTGCACTTGGATGGAGGAGGTATTGGTGGTGAAGGACGGGCAGGGGCAGGAATGAGCACCACGAGTGAGATCAGGGAAGTGAGGACTGGGCCCCCCTCTTCACATGTGCCCCAGGGGAGGGGGGTCAGGGCGCTTGTGGAGCTGCAAGACAGGGCCGCCCCCCCCGTAGGTACCCCAGGAGAGGGCGGGGGTGGGGGGCTATGAGGCTCCTGCGGAGCTGCTGGAGACAAAGCGGGCTCGGCGCGCCCGCTGCTCACTCTCGGCGTCGCCTCCCCCGAGCAAGTCTCCGAAGGGCAGCGGCGTGGTCAAAACCCTCCCCTTGTTAGCATGGCCCTCTCCCGACAACTCGCCCTCATCCTCCCCGATCGGGGAGCGGCGGACCACGTTCAAACGGATGCCCGTGTAAAGGCTCGGCAATGATTTCTGCAGGGCGCCACCGCGGCAAACTCTCGGGAGGGCCTGGAGGCCCCAATGGGAATTGCCCGTTTTAAAATAGCCCTTGTTGAACACCAGTGTTGCGGCCGTTCGAGGATGGAGATTATGAAAGAGAGATGTTGGGGGGTAGCTGTGAAGTGCGCAGGGGGTTGAGAGAGGGCAGAGAGGCGCGGGTGTGGGGGCAAACATTTAGTGATCGCCCCCTCCTTTTTGACCCCTATATGTTTCGTTCGAGCTCAAGCGGGGAGGGGCCTACCTTTTAGCGAGCGCAGTCTTGCCCCCAGATGTTCTTGCGTGCTCAAGCGGGGGGGGTACCATATTCTTGCTCACTCCTCTCCTCCTCCTCCCTGCCATCCCTGCCCTCTCATCCTCCTTTTTTTTGAATGAAGCTGTCCTAGTCTTCGAACTTCGCCTGGTCCAGCGTATCCAGCTCCTCCAGGGTCGGGGGCCGCATCTTGCGCGCGATCTCGTGCGCGCGACGGTACTCAGCATATGCATCGTCGGTCTCCTTGCCAGCCGCGCGATGCACGGCGTAGAGGCGCCTGGTGTTGTTGTCGAGGTCCACCCACACCTTGTGGCGCGCCACGACCTTGCTCCACGCCGCCGCGGCGTCGTCCATCGTGCCCGTGGTCTCGGCGGGCGGCATGGCGGGCGACGTGGGCTCGACCGATGGCTCAGGCTTGGGGCGCGGGGGCTCCGCTGAACCCGACGACGTCGGCGAGGGCTCAGGCTCGTCGGCGGGCGAACCCGCAGCAGGCGCAGCTTGCACAGGGGTCTGCACACTCGGCGGCACCGCGCGCGGCTCCCCTACCTGCGACGCGGTACGCGCCTGCTTCTTCGGCGGCGGCTGCGTGGGCGGAAGGCAGTCCTCGACCCTGACCTTGCGCTGGTAGGACGGTGCAGCGGTGGGCCGTGGATGCGCGGCGAGGAGCAGCCGTTGCGGGGGCGGCCCATCTGGCGGACGCGGCTGCATGGCGGTGTGTACTCGCAATCGCGTCGCTGTGGTTTGGACTGCGAGGCTGCGGGGCCCGCTTCGATCATCCTCCCCATCCTCCCCCTCATCCTCCTCCTCGGCCTCCTCAGCCTCCTTCCCATCCTCACCATCCCCTTCCTCCTCCTCCTCCTCCTCCTCCTCCGCATCCTCCTCCTCCTCCTCCTCCTCCCCATCCTCCTCCTCCTCCTCCTCCTCCTCCTCTCTGTCAGCGCCCATGCCACCCCTGCATCCACCTCATCTGTGGCCTCCTCCATCTCCCTCATCGTCCTCCTCGTCAACCACCTCCTTCTCGCCGTCCTTTGAGACAACCGTCGCCTCTGGAACACGTGTGACCAATGATGGCGTTGGCCACCTGGCCCTATAAGGGCCTGGGGGGCGACCTGACTGGGCGCGCCCTGGAGTTTCGGGTGCAATCCCAGGGACGCCATCCTGGCAAATAAAAACGCATCCCGGAACCTTCTGGACCCGGTCTCTGTTTCACTCGTGTGATTTAGCAGTCGGGCGGTGGCGGTTTCGTGCGGCCACTGGCGCGGTCGCAGAGCGGCACTCGCTCTGGGCCAACCGACGAGGGCAAACAGGCCATGGTGCACCATGGCCCTCATGAGGGCGGCGGCCATCGGCATCAAACATTTCACCGAACAACATGCCGCTGAAACAAAAAAACTCACACGCACCTATCGCATGCGTGTCTTGTCGTGCTAGCAATCGCATCCGACCTGAACTTCCCTCCCTAGCTCAAACTCTCTGCCTCCCCTATCGTGCGCGAGCGTGCGCTGATGCTGCTTCGCAACGGCTGATCCTACACCACGCTCTGCACTGTAGCTCAACTCTGCCTGGCCTTCTTTGCCACCTGGGCGCTGCCCCCGATCGGTCCCTGCCGTGTTTCGGGTTGGCCCAGGGTGCCGACAGGGGGTTGAGCGCCAACTCCGCCCCTTTGAGGATCTTGACGGTGTTCGAGAGCACAGGGATCGATACCTCAGTGGCGCTGGACCGTGCAGCGGCCACCTTGGCAGCGGTCTTGAGCTCTGCTACTACATTGATAGAAACAACCGTTGCCGCCATGTTGGCGTCCGTGCTGTCTCCAACATATTTAACACACCAGTAGGGGGGCACGAACCCGCTGTTGGGGCGGTCGTCGGGTACCTCGATCTTTGGAGGGTTCACCCACAACTGAAACGGCCTGCCATCGATGGTATGGGCACAATCCGCGAGCACAACTGCGCTCGCGGGTGCCTTCGGGCCTGCACCGATGCTCACGCCAAGGGGGACCAGCGTGAGCTCTCGGCTCTCGAAATCAACTGCTGCTACTAACTTCTCAATCGAACCCTTACCCTTCGAAGACGGCGACACGACGGCGTGCAGCTTCCCTGGGCCTGGGTCGAACATCGAGCGCCCCCCCCCCCCCCCCCCCCCTTCCAGAGAGCCCCAACTGGATCCCGAGAGGACCCCAAGATTGCCCCAGACGGCCTCAAGGAGCTCTCGAGAAAGGCGCGTTTGCTTATCGTATCCGTGGATGTGTCTTGACGTCCTCTTGTGGCCGTCTTAATTGGGGCAGTCCTTGCCTGGGGGGCCCGAGGGGGCCCCAGTGACCCCTGCCCCGAACTTCCCCCGACGATGAGGGGAGTGCGCGAAGGTCAAGCACGCAACGGGCAGCACGCAGGGGCGAGCGTAGGCCGAACGATCAGTTGGCAGAAGTCCGCACCCCCCCCATCTGGCCGAAACGTCCGACCTCGATAGCCTCGGGGACCCACGGATGACGGGGGTGGGGCAGCAGTTCGGCCAACTGATGGGCGGGCGAGTGCGAACACAGAACAGAAACTGTTTGAAACTGTGGTCCTGGTAATCGTCGGCCAACGCGCCGTTCCCCACCTCCTGAGCCACGGGCGCCGCCGCCCCGCCGCCCTTGGAGCGAACGGGCGGGTCCGTCGGGGCCGCAGTCAAGACGGTGGTGAAGCCCTTCATCTCAGAAATTGTGTATATCGTGATGCCATCATCTTTGCTCTTGGCCTGCCTGCCCACATCGAAACCCATCGACCTCGCGGTGGCCCTGGGCACTGAGCTCCCACTGTACTCAACCATCCCGCTCGACGATGGCTCTGGGGGGGCAGGCGCAGCGTTCTCATAGGCCCACGGCTTGGGCATCGGGGCGGTGATGGGGAAGCGCTTCACGATGTCAGCCATCATCGCGTTTGCTATCCCTTCGATGCTCGAGTGCCGCGGCCGCCCCTGTGGCGGGCGAGCGGCAATGGCCCTGCCCCTCCGACGCGCCAAACCCTTCGGACAATCGGCCGAAGGGGTTCGCACGTCGGAGGGGCCGCGGCATGGGGGGGGGGTTTTGTTAGCCCCTCTCGGGGGCCCGTTGGGGCCTCATTGGGAGGAGTGGTGTAGCCTCTTGGGGGGGGGGGGGGGGAGAGGGGGTGGGGGGTGGGGGGGGGGGGGGGGCATGGTCTCCTGTGTGTGGTGTGTGTGTGTGTGTGTGTGTGTGTGTGTGTGTGTGTGTGTGTGTGTGTGTGTGTGTGTGTGTGTGTGTGTGTGCGTGTGTGTGTGTGTGTGTGTGCGTGTGTGTGTGTGTGTGTGTGTGTGGGGGGGGGGGGGGGGGGGGGATGTGGGGGGCGGCAGCTTCTGGGTGCCTCTTGGCCCCCCTATGGTTGGGGAGGGGGTGGGCCTATGTGGTAGCCGTGGCCACATCGCCCGCGCCCCCAACCTCCTCCTCCTTAACACCACCTCCTCGCAGTCGGGGGGGCGGGGGCAGGGAGGATGGGGGAAGGGGGGGTTGAGGAGGAGGAGGAGAAGCAGGAGAATAAAGATGAGGAACATGAGGAATCGGAGGAGGAGGATGGACGATGAGGAGGAGGAGGAGGAGGAGGAGGGGGGGGATCTGGTTTTTGATTGCGCGATTGCTTTTACCAAGTCCTTGCATTTCTTCCCGTGGATGAACATCACTGCGTCAACCTCGAAGCGGCCGACGACCTGGGCGAACTCCACGGGGTTGTACTCCTCGACCTTCTCGGTGAACCAGTCGACGGCGACCCGCATGTAGGATGTGGCAGCCACGCAGAGCGACTTCTTGGAGCCGATGACCTGGGCTGCGTCAGCAGACGATATCAGACGAAACTGCCCGTCGCGCATCCAGGGGCCATCTGGGGCGCTCATTGTAGCCTTGAGCATCATCCACGGGTACTCGGGGCACTGCTTGAAGTCGAGGGCGCCGAGAGCCTTGAAGGTTGAGCTGTGGACGGCTCGCCGAGAATTCAGCGATCGGCCCCACTGCTCGGGGGCGTTGATGAACTTCGGGGTCGTGCCGCCGCCGCACTTGCCAACGAATGTGCACATGTCCTCGATCGCGTCCTCCATGTGCGGCGCGTTCTGGCTGACCCTGAGCTGCACCTGCCGGAGGTGACCCCATCGGCTCACGACAGCAAACGTGCGCGGCGTCTGCCGCGCACGTGTGCCTATCGCGTTCCGCTGGGGTCACCTCCCGAAAACCTACGACGCATCTCCAGGGGCGAGTTTCCCGCGGGTTCCCAGGACACCTTCGGCCAATCGATCGCGCTCCCAGTCTTGTAGAGCTTCGCGCGCTCGTGGATCTGACGAAGAACCTGCGCCAGTCCAAGCTGCTGGTGTGCATCGTGACCTCGATTGCCTGCTTGCTGAAGCAGGTCCGCGAGATCGGGGAACGCGGCCAACACCTCCCACCGTATCACCGCGAACTGGATGCCCTTCTGAACGGGCTGCATGTAGCTCGGGGCCATGTGGAAAACCTCGTCCCGATTGATGGTCCCGTCCTCGTTGGCGATCTCCTTCTGGCTGGTCTTGCAAGCGCACCTGCTGGAAGGGGGGGCGGGTCAGAGGAGCAAGGGGGGAGGGCGGGTGAGAATGTATAAGGGCCATGGGCCCTTATACATTCTCACCTCCGCGGGCGTTCGTCCTGAGGAGGGGGCGGGCCTGGCAGACCAAAGGGCTTCTGCCGTGAGCCCCCCCCCCATCCCCTCCCCCACGCGCCCCCCAAGGGCACTTCGTGGCGCGGCATCCAGCGGCGGTGCGGCTGCTCGACGCCGTCGAAAAACGGATGGGCTTGACGAACGGTGCCAAATACCCCTCGGACTCCCAGACAATTCTCTCGTTGAACGCAGCCTCGGCTTTTCCTGCTTCTCCAGGGGGCATTTCAAAACAGCGGGCCGCGGCAACCTCGAAGAGGCTCCACCCGCTCTCCAAAATCTTTCGGATGAGCTCGTGGACGTCGACGACGTCGAGTACTAGACCGTCCCTGTTCATGCTGCTGACTCCTATCTCGTCGATGTCGCATATCTGTAGATATGCAAGGTTGTTGTTCAAGAGCGTCTGGACGACGGAATCACCCACTGTCTTGATCTGCTTCGAGTCGCCATGCTTGTAACTAAAAAGACAATCCTCGATCTCATAGCGAACTGCTTCGATGGCATCCAACGCCATCGTTGTCCTCAAAACGGGCCTCCCCGCTGCCAGCAAACAACTCGACCGAAAGGGCTGCGGCGAGGAGGGGGGGCGCCGCCCTGAGAAGAAACGCGGCCTCAGACTCGTCAAGGTTCCCGTTTTGCAAGCAAGCGAACCCCTTTCAACATAACTTACCAGGGGGATCCAACATATATGTAACCATGTTGTTAAATTCATGCTAACCTCAGGAACTTGAGAACATCACTTCGCCTAAGTAGAATAACATCCACTATAATATGTTCCAATACTTCCTAATCCTGAAACAAACGTGCGATCTACATAGCCCCAACGCAGAACTACTTACACCATATACAACGGCCTTTGACACATTACAACGATGTTATAGCCTTGTTACAACTTTGTTATAGATATCTGTGACCGACACACCTACCTAGAACACGGCCCATCGATCCCAGCAGGCGCCGGCGGAAATGATGCCAGCGCTGCAACGGGAGCACGATTCGGAACGAGCGGGGCCCGAAAATGAGGCCGGCGCCTCAGCGAGAGCAGCATTTTGGAAACAAGTGCAAGCGAAAACCGAACTCCGGGGAAACCTGTGCGTGAAAAAAACAATGCGCGGGGGGGGAGGGGGGGGGGGGGGGGGCGAACACTCCCAAGACGTCATCAGGGGAAGAGGGAGAGTAGTATTCATATTGACTACCTGTGGAAGAGGAGGAGGAGGAGGAGCAGGAGGAGGAGGAGGAAGAGGAGGAGGATGAGGAGGAGGAGGAGGAGGAGGAGGAGGAGGAGGAGGAAGACCGCGAGTCGGAGGGGGCGCGTCGTGCCTCGCCCGCTCCCGCCAGGGGGCTCCCGAGGGCCCCCACCGACAGGGGTCCTGGCCCGCGTGGCCAGGGCCCCTGGCCACGGGGGCCCGCCCGAGGGCAGGGCCCCCGACCGTGAGGAAGTCGACCTTCCAGTGGGACGTGCCCATGCCGTCCATGGAGCGCTCACCCACGCTCAGCCAGTGCCCCTGCTGCCGAGCTCGTCTTCGACCCGCCCGACGACTGTCACCCAGTCGCTCGTGTCGTCGACGAACTCGCCGTCCAAGAGCCACGCCACCCGCTCGCCCCGCGAGGCCGAGGCGACCTGCATGGGGCTGTCCAGATCGCCCGTCGCCACGAGGGCCGCCGCCTCGAGCCTGCAGAGCGCAGACCTCACCGCGTCCGCGCCGAACTCCGCCGTGAGCGCCACGACGAACGGGACGATCGCCACGCGCACCTCGCCCACGAGGGCGTCCGCCGCGGCGCGTCCCAACTCGTCGGCCTCGCGCGCGGCGGGGAGGATCGCGTCGTCGACCAGGGCATCGTCGCCCTTCGCGGTCTTCCGTAGCCTTTCTGCCGCGCCCCCCTTGCCTCGCGGCCTGGGCCTCCGCGGCCGGCGGGGCCATCGCGACAGGGCCAGCGCATCCAACCACGGCCGCACCGCGAGCCGCCCGCGCCGCTGCGGCCGCGCGCAGCCCCAGCAAGCCGCGCGCCCAGCGCTGCAGTGTGCCAGCTGCGGCTGCACGACGCTCGGCCTTGCGCCGCTCGGCCAACGCAGCGGCCCAGCGCGCGGCCCAGCGGTCGGCGACGGCCTGCGCTGCGCCCCACCGCTCGCCTCGCCGACTTTTCTTTCACCTTGCCCGTCGCCACCTTCCACTCCTTCTCCTCCACGTCCTTCTGCATGAGCGGCGCGCCAGAGCGGCCTCCCTCAGGCGCCGCCACGGTGGACACGGCCTCGGCCACACGTACCGCCTCGACCTCTTACGCAGGCGGCCCACGACGCACCAGCTCGAGCAGCTGCTGCCCCCGCCGCGCGCCTTCTGCCGCGGACAACCCCAGGGCTGGCACCGACGTCCCCAGGGTCTGCACGGCCCACTCGTGCAGGATGATGCCCAGCACGCGAGGGGGCGCCCAGGTGGCCGCACCGCAGCAACCGCACCAGCGCCCACCGCACGGCAACTCCGAGCTACCTCCCATCACCGCGCGCATCAGCTCCGAACGTGGGGGCCTCCGCGGCCGCCTGCCATCGCGCGCGCCGACCCCAGCGCGGCGCTCGTCCCCGCCCGAGCGGCCCCGACCGACGGGGCCTCGGGCAGAAACTGGAGGAGGAGGAGGAGAAAGAGGAGGAGGAGGAGGAGGAGGAGGAGGAGGAGGAGGAGGAGGGGGAGGAGGAGGAGGAGTCTCTGGAGTCTCTGCCTGATCGCGTAGCGATATGTTCCGCTCGACCGCACGGCGCGGTTCCACCTTCCACTCAGAAGGCCTTCGACAGCAGGGAGTAGTTCAACGCGTCGACGCTGAGGAAATGGCTGCACCGAGAGCTGAGAGAAGGTCTCCAACCTCACTGCCGCCGTCCTGCTTCGTCGGTGTGTTGCCACTTGTAGACTCCCATTTCCATTTCGTAACGTTGAGTACGACCGACTCCAACCTGTGTGTGAATCCATCTCCCATTACTGCCTTGTGATGCGGCCGCCAGGTGTGCAACGCGTCGCACGAAAGGCTGGGATTTCCGTCTCATGGCTCGTGTGATGCATTTATCTTCAAATTCCTTCTGTTTTGCAGCTCGCTCGCGGAGAAACGCTTCCACGTCTGGCTCAGTGATTTTTCTTTTTCTGTAGCTGACGACGTCGGGCTCGACCTTCGCACCGCGAGTCCGATCCCCGTCGTTGAAGCTGATGGCGTTGGGCTCGTGCTTCGTCTCTGCCACTGCCACCATCCAAGACTTCTCGCATGCACCGTACTCGGGTCTGTAGCTGATGACGTCGGGCTCGACCTTCCCGTCATGCGACACAGCCTTGTCGTTGTAGCTGATGGCATTGGGCTCGTGCTTCGTCACTAGTACTGCCGTCATCCAAGACATCTCGCATGCACCGTCCTCGGGTCTGTAGCTGATGACGTCGGGCACGACCTTCCCATCACGCGACACAGTCCCGTCGTTGTAGCTGATGGCGCTGGACTCGAAATTCGGCCCCGCCACTGCCACCGTCCAAGACTTCTCGCATGCACCGTCGTTGTAGCTGATGGCATTGGACTGGTTCTTCGTCTCCGCCACTGCCGCCATCCAAGACTTCTCGCATGCACCGTCCTCGGGTCTGTGGCTGATGTCGGCGGGCTCGACTTTCCCGTCACGCGACACAGCCTCGCCGTTGTAGCTGATGGCATTGGACTCGTGCTTCGTCTCCGCCACTGCCGCCGTCCAAGTCTTCTCGCATGCACCGTCGTTGTAGCTGATGGCATTGGGCTGGTGTTTCATCTCCGCCACTGCCACCATCCAAGACTTCTCGCATGCACCGCCCTCGGGTCTGTAGCTGATGACGTCGGGCTCGACCTTGGCGTCGCGCGGCGCAAACCCGTCGTTGTAGCTGATGGCGTTGGGCTCGTGTTTCGTTTCCGCCACTGCCGCCATCCAGGGGTTCTCGCATGCACCGCCCTCAGGTCTGTAGCTGATGACGTCGGGCTTGACCTTCCCGTCATGCGACACAGCCTTGTCGTTGTAGCTGATGGCGCTGGACTCGAACATCGGCTCCGCCACTGCCCCCATCCAAGACTTCTCGCATGCACCGTCGTTGTAGCTGATGACATTGGGCGCGTGCTTCGTCGCTGCCACTGCCGCCATCCAAGACTTCTCGCATGCACCGTCCTCTGGTCTGTAGCTAATGACGTCGGGCTCGACCTTCCCGTCACGCGACACAGCCTCGTCGTTGTAGCTGATGGCATTGGACTCGAGCTTCGCCTCCGGCTCTGCTCGCTGCTGCCACTGCCGTTCTGACCCCCACGTTCCTGCCGTGTCCTGTGGATGCTCCCACTGTCCATATTGCTCCCGCTCGCTGCTCCCAACGCTGTAGCTGACGACGTTGGGGTCCATATACTGCATCTTGCGGAGCTGCTCCACCTCGCGGGTTAGGCGGTGGATGGCTCGCTCAGCCGACCACTGTGCCCACGCCCGCCGGGCCTTGCGCTCCTTCGGGGTGAGCCTTGGGCGCCACTCTCCGGCACCCATCCCGTAGCACCGTTTGAAACTCCAGTGTTTGTTAACGTCAAAAGCGGCTGAACATGCGACAGCTGCGACGAGATCCCCCAAGCACCGCGCGGAGGTCCTGGAGCCGGCCCGGGGCAAGGGAAGCCTGGGCCTGGGTTGATTGAGGAGGAGGAGGAGGAGGAGGAGGAGGAGGAGGAGGAGGAGGAGGAGGAGGAGGAGGAGGAGGAGGAGAGGGAGGAGAACGAGATCGACGACGACGACGACGACGTCGACGACGGCGACGACGACGACGACGACGACGACGACGACGACGACGATGGCGGCGTCGACGGCCAAGGGCAGCGGCGGCGGCGAGTCGCCGGTCTGGCTCCTGGAGCGCCGCAGCTCCTCGGTGTCGGAGAGGTCGAACCTCGGGGGACGGGGGGGGGCCCCGCGATCCTAAACGATTCCTGACGGTCCGACCGCGACTCTGCGCTTCGTACTCTTATTGACTCCGCGAGGCTGCTTCCGCTAAACAGTGTGTGTGTGTGATTGTGATTGTGATTGTGAGTGTGAGTGTGAGTGTGAGTGTGATTGTGATTGTGATTGTGACTGTGATTGTGTGTTTCATGTGTGTGTGTGTTTTTCGGATGTGTGCGTGTGTTTCGTGTGCGTGTGCGTGTGTGCGTGTGCGGCGAAGGGCTTGGCGCCAGGCGCGCTCCCTACACTGCTGCCTGGGTGGGTGGTGCATAGAGTCCGAGATTCTACCACGCACGCCACCGCCAGTAGCACCGGCTCAACAAAGAGGGCAAGGGAAGCCGAATCCTGAGGTACGAGGGGGGAGAGAGAGAGAGAGAGAGAGAGGGAGAGAGAGAGAGAGAGAGAGAGAGAGCAAAAAGAGAGAAAGAGAGAGAGAGAGAGAGGGAGGAGGAGGGCAAGGGGGAAGACGGGGGAAGGAGGGAGGGAGGGAGGAGGGAGTGAGGGAAATTCGCTGTTGACCACGCTGTGGTGGGGCGGGGGGGGGCGGGGAATGGGAGCGATGCAGGGAGGGACGAAGACTGAGGACGAGCAAGGTACTCTTCGGCGACATTCTTCGCAGGACACGGACAGTTGCGCTTCTCAAGGGGACCATGATGGAACACGCGAGGGGAGGAGGCAGGCAACCGCACGCGAGCCGAACGCTGCCCTCACAGCTCGGAGCCTAGAAACGGGAAAGGGGCTCAGAGCTTGAAGACGTGCGCAACCAGGTGACCCCAGCGGGGCATGCGATACCCCAGCGTCGATCGGACCCGACGACGACGACGACGGCGCTGAGGACGAACAAGAAGGACGTAGCTGGGCAGCTTTTCCCAGCCCCGTGAGCCCCGAGTCGTTCATCGACCGGCCCTGGAGCTGAGCGGCCTCCATCATCACGTGGCCGATGACGCCCGAGTCCATGGTGGCCTGGACAAGAGAGAGCACGGCCGAAACATGACCTACCAAGCAACGTAGATCAATACCATCGGCCCCTTCGCTGAAGGCCTACGGTACCACGGAGATACCCCGAACGGAGGACCTTCTGTGATGAGGAGCTCAATCACGAAGACCACAGGGGTGCCACTGAGACTTGCGACGACGAGACGACGACGACGACGACGACGACGACGACGACGACGACGACGACGACGACGACGACGACGACGACCAGCAGTACGGCAGTCTGACGCCGCGATGACGCCAGCTTTGGTCGCTGACACCGCGCGGGCCATTCCACCTTGCACGATCGCGGATCTCCACTAGTGCGGATCGTTTGACACTGGCCGACTCGGGGCCACTGGTGGTATGCAGCCTTGATCGCCTGCGCTGGGGTCGCCGCCGCATCGACGCGGCGCGAACGTACCGCAGGAGGAGGGACAGAAACACAGAATTCCTGACACATGGGCGTCGTGAGCAGATAGCACGGCGGGTGCGTCGGGCCCCTTACCCATCGATCCAGCTCGAGGAGTCGCCGACAGAGATGGGGCTGAGGGGCCTTGTCCACAGCGGAATGGGAAAGGCATCGTTCCTCGAACCTCATTTTCTGCCCAATTCAAGACATGAAAAATGAAGGGCCGAACGCACACACAGAATGGACATTGTGACGGCAATCGATGGCTATGTACAACGTGGTTGCCCCTCGGAACCACCATTCTGGAGGCCCTGCGGCCCTTCGCGAAGCAGAGAGGACGCGGGCCTTGAGCTCCAAGTCGCCAACGAGCAGCGGCTTCAAGCAACTGTCATGCACCGACTCGACACATCGCCGGGTACTTCCTGCAAACTCCTTTGGAACACGTGAACTGGTTAACAAATCCTGGACTCATGAGACATCCCTGGGGAGCTGTTCACCTCAGGGGTTGCGAGATCTCGGGACGGCTGAAGTCCAGAAGCGTCGTCCGAGATCGAGGATACCCACCTCCCGTTGTTGGAAACGTCCCGCCCCGCGGTCCGAAGTCCTTCTTGTAGAGAACATCCTGGTGGCACTGCTCCCCGCAGCGGATGCCGTTCCTCTTGAGCATCCGCTTCGTGGTGCCGCCGAGGCCGAGCAGGAAGGCGCACACGGTCATGAACGTGGCCGTCCGCAGCATCAGCTTCGTGCCCTTGCCGTCCACGACGTCGACCTCGGCAGATGATGGAAACTTTCAGGAGGCAGCTGCTGGGAGGTTTCCGTCGGAAAGGCTAAGGAGGATTAAGCCCCGTTTGGGAGCTGTTACGCTGGAGTGGGCCTCGGATTAAGCGGGATTAAGCCGGATTAAAAGCGGGATTAAGCAGATTTAAACGGGATTGATCCGGACCAGGCTTGATTTCGGACCAGGGCAAAATCAGACTTTGACCTCCCAGGAGTTGCATCCGAAAGACTCAGTCTGGTGGCAAAGATGACATGACCGGGCCAAACTTCCGATCGCCGAACTGCCACAGGAACCACATCAACCCGGCGATCCCCCCATCCTTGTGATCAGTCCTGAGCCGAACACGCGACCGTTAATCATGCGATACGGCGGGAACGTGGCCACAGAAAACCCTCGCAAGACACCCATCCTGAAAATCGTCAACTTGACCAGACCCTGGGTTTCTGATTGATAAGCTCCAATCGGAGAGGCCCAGGGTACCTGGCCCGAGATATTTTTCTTAGGCTTGGCCAGGGATTTGCGGGCAACCATTGAGGAGGCACGGAGGACACCGTCGATTTCTGACCTCGTCGTTGCGCGCTCCAAGAGACCAAGGGAGCCTTACGAGCAGTCCGATTTCTCGTTGTGGCTTCGCGATTTCTGTTCAAACAATTTGCCACGCGCTTCAGAAAACGGAGCGAGGTGCAATCAAGGGAGAAACCCGCGGTACGTTCGGCACAACGGTCTCTTAACAACCGGGGGAAATCACAACACATCACTAAAACGAAGACACCCAAAAGCGTCCAATTTCATTGTGCGCGTCCCCACTGCACCTAATCAGAAGACAGCTCGCCGCTTGGGCCCCTCCGCCAGCCGAAACGGCGAGCATACATCGGGCGTAGCCCCGCACCCATTTGGATGCCCGCGCGTCGGCCTCGTACTACTCGCGGGCCCCCAGCACGGTGAGTGCGTTGACGGCGTCCTGGTCGTACCAATGGCACACATAGGTTGCGCCCTCGGCCGCCGAGAATACAATAAAACCGCGTCTCCTATCGGTTGCGCCATAGGTTGCGCCCTCGGCCGCCGAGAATAAAACCGTCTCCTATCGGTTGCGCTACGGGCTGCGCCCTCGGCCGCCGACAATAAAACTGTCTCCTACCAGTTGCGCCATAGGCTGCGCCCTCGGCGGACGAGGATTAAAACCATCTCCTATCGGCTGCGTCATAGGTTGCGCCCTCGGCGGCCAAGAAACAACCCGTTTCCTATTGGTTGCACCATAGGTTGCGCCCTAAACCGTCTCCTATCGGTTGTGCCATACGATGCGCCTTCGGCGGCCGATAACAAGTGGCACGCGCGCGCTGGCTCTTGCAACAAGGAGCTGCGAGAGACAGGAGGCTTTCGCCTCCTTCCTCCAGGAGTTTACTTTTATGGCCGTGGGGGGGAGGACGACAGGCGAGCGAACGGACGACGACGACGAACGAAAATAAAGAGGTCCGAGCTCTAGAGCACAGATGTGCAAAATAATAAAACCGTTTCCTATAGGTCGCGCCATCGGTTGCGCCCTCGGCCGCCGAGAATAGGTTGCACCCTCGGCCGCAAATGATAACACCGTCTCCTCCGATCGGTTGCGACATAGGTTGCGCCCTTGGCGGCCGATAATAAAATATCTCCTATTGGTTGCGCCATAGGTTGCGCCCTCGGCCGCCGAGGATTAAAACCGCGTCTCCGACCGGTTGCGCCATAGGTTGCGCCCTCGGCCGCAGAGAATAAACACGCCTCCCATCGGTTGCTACATAGGTTGCGCCCTCGACCACCGATAATAAAACCGTCTCCTATCGGTTGCGCCATAGGATGCGCCCTCGGCGGCCGAGAATCGATCGGTTGCACCATAGGTTACGCCCTCGACGGCGAAACACAAAACCGTCTCTTATCGGTTGCGCCATAAACTGCGCCCTCGGTGGCCGAGAATAAAACCGTCGCGTAACGAATGCGACCAGTCAGTTCAGTTCAGTTCAGTTGAAATCAGTTCAGTTTATTTCAGTCCAGTCCTGTCCAGTCCGGCCCAGTTTACCTCGCGAGAAACAAACTCGGGCTACGCCCGAAAATATTCACAGTGAGCGCGAATCGCAATTGCAAGACAGGCGGACACTAAGACGCTGGCCCAGTCACCCAATTCCATGCACAACACGAAAGCGATACCACCGCGCAGACCAGCATGCCACATCATAAACAGATGATTCGAACTGAGCAAATTGACAGACTTACCGCTACCACGGACCCTGCATCTCTTGATGCAATTGACCAACGCGCCCAGAGGGTACACTGCCATAGCGCGGCCAACCAAGCACGCCGCCATAACGATGATGCTGAAAAGCATGCCTTTCGTATCGATCATGGTAACCGCGGCGCCAACGAATAAGAAGACTGCCATGTCCGCCAGCATACCGGCCTGCTTCAGCACGAAGGATGCAAGAGCCGCGCCCTCGATTGTGAGATGTGGCCTCGCATAGATGCCCATGGTGATCGCGCAGAAGAGCACAGCAATGATCCCAGACATGTGAATTGACTCCGCCAAGGCGTACGTCAAGAAGCAAGACACTACGATAAACATGATCTGAATCGTGACAGACTCGCGCATCTTGAAAACTCGAAAAACGAACACGTACGTAATTGCTAACACACACCCCAGAAGGATCGAACCAAACAAGAGCTCTAGAACCGCGCTTGCGAGGCCTATCGAGATAGACTGGAATGTTTTCGTCTTTGCTTCTGCCTGGTGTATATGCACCAGCTGATCGTAAATGTGCTGCGACGCGTCATCGGCATGTGCCTCGTCCATGGGCTCAGGCTCGCCGAAAATCTGATTGTCGTTCAGTACGTGGAAGAGCACTATGGCCACAGCATCGTTGATGACCGACTCCCCGAACACCATTATATTTAGGAGCGGTTCAACCTGCAAGGAAGAGTACGTCGCCAGTGTTGCCACTGGATCCACAGCAGAGATGAGGGATGCGTATGCAAAGGCAACCCGGAGGCTGTTGATATGATGCCAATGGCTTGTAACATGGATTAGGAAACCTACGACCAGAACGGAGATGACAGTGCCGGCAATAGCAAATATCAAAATGTAAACGAGCTGTGAACCGAAATCTTTGTACCGCAAAGACCAGCCAGACTCGAAGATGATGATTGGAAGAAGCACGAGGTTCAGCACGGTCGAGTTGATCGCGCCATATAGCTCTTCGTCCAAGTTCCCAACGCCGCCGTACTCCATGAGCAATCCAAAGCAAATGCCGACAAAGACAGTGGCCGCTGACTCTGGAATGCAGTCGACGTGGAGCCTGTGGAACTGTCCGACCCTTTCTAGCCTGTGTTCCGCACTTGCGGGTGAGAGTGATGGTGGCTGGCTGTGCGGGTCGGGGCAGACACGGAAGGGCGACTGGAAGACAACTTGCCCAGATGGAGAAAAGTAGAGAGAGAGAGAGAGAGACAGAGAAAGGGATGGAAGGACGTAGAGATGATTGTGACTTGCATTAGTGTATAAATGTATATGTACATCTCTCCGCATGTGTACATATGTATAAGAATCCGCCGACCCCTTGGGGATCATCGGCGTGTGAGATGCTTCCCCCTCCCCAAACCCCTTCCCCGGGAGCCCGGTCCGGTCGATTTGGAGGGGGGGGGGGTCCGGGACGAGCGCACCACGGCCGGGACGAGCGCAGCACGGCCGGGACGAGCGGTTCACGGGGCTTTTCCGGGCCCAAGAGGGCCTCAAGACGGGCCAAGAAGCCCCCAAGAGGCCTCCAAGACGGCCCACGAAGGCCCCGAGACGCCAAACGACCGCTCCAAGACGCCCAAGATGGCCCCAAGACGGGCCAAGAGGTCTCCAAGACGGCCCCCGAGGTCCCAAACAAGCCTCCCAAGAGGACCCCAAGAGTCTAAAATTGTTGATTTTCCATAGTGTTTTTCTATGTTTTTTGCTTTTCCGCCTTTTCGGCTTCCCGACGCTCCAAGACGGCCAAAGAGGCCCCCAAGAAAGCCCCAAGATGGCCCAAGAGGCCCCCAAGACGGCCTCCAGACGGCCCAAGACGGCCCCAACACGGCCCAAGAGGTCCCCAAGACGGCCCAAGAGGGCTCCAAGACGGCACCAAGAGGGGCCCAAGAGGGCGACCAAACATGTTGAAACTCTAGCTTTCTGCCCCCAGGAGCCCCAGGGGGCCCCAAGAGTGCCCCAAGAGGCCCCCAGAGGCCCTCACGAGGCCGCCCAGACGCCCCAAGGAACCCCCAAGAAGCACCCCAGAGGCTCCGAAACGGCCCCCAAGTGGCTCCAAAACTCGCTTCCAGAGGCCCCCGAGAAGCGATCCGCGAGATCCCGATACACATACAAGAAGCCTCTCGGCCCAAGAGGGCTCCAAGACGGCCCCCGCGGAACTGCCCGAGACCCTCTGGCGGTGGCGGCGAACAGACATCAAACAAATATCACTCGCCTTTTTACCCCTTCGCAGCTTCTACTACCCCCAGATTGGCATAAATAAGGGGTCGGCGGTGTGGCGTAAGCCTAAGAATCACTGGGGCCGAGCGGTCTTTCGCTTGCCCTAGATGCGTGGCTGCTGTGGGGTTCCGCGATGCGGATTGTGCCATTATCGTCGTCGAACCGCCCGCGACCCAGCCGCGACCCAGCCGCGACTCAGCAGCGACCCGCCAGCGAGCGTGGTGGGCCAGAGCCAGCGGAGCAGAGCCAGCGGAGCGACACGCTAAGCATGCGCCGCCTGCATACATCCTCGTGTCTCTACCGCGCACACACTTCGTGAACGCGCGCACGATCGTGCTTCGCTCGCCGTCCTTGTGCGGAACATCTGGAGCTATTCTGGGGAGGGGGGGGCTGTGTCAGATTCCATGTGATGGCCTGTGGAGCTGGCTCGCCAGCACGAGGGCGAACAAGAAGCACGCGCTGATGGGCAGAACCACGTGCAGAGCCCAGCCGTGCACCTTCCGAGGAAACGCGCATCTGTTGCTGCACAGTGGGGCAGGAGCCTCCTCCTTTACCCTCGTCCTGCATGGTCCTCCTCCTCCTCCTCCGCCTCTCAATGCTGTTTTCCATCTTCCCCTCCATCATCCTCGTTCTCCTGCTCCTCTTCCTGATCGTCCTCCTCGTCGGAGAAAAACGGGTACACCTGGGGGCGATGGGATGGAACAGGGATCGCCATATCAACTAAGAACTTCCGCTGGAAGGAGCAGAGGAGGAGCAGTGTCAGCAGATCGAGCCGATGGTTCCACTCGCGCCTGAGTATTCGATGACCAATCGACTGCGTGCCGCCTTCTTGGCCCAGTCCTGTAATCCTGAATCGAAGGAAGAACCGATGGGCCAACCCGCTCCTGAGTGCCCAGTGCCCAAACGAGTCCTTGATGCACTCTTGACCCACTCCTGCAATCCTGGGCCGAAGCAACAGGGCACCTCTTGGGAGGCCCCGTTCCTCGATTCGCGAGGCCTCCGGGGCACCACGGCGAGGCGAGGCCAGCGCCCGGGCCCTCGCCGCACGCAGCGCGGGCCGAGACGCAACGGACGCGGCAACCAGCGGCGCACAAGGCGCGGGCCGCCGCACGCGGCCGGCACCGCGGCTCCCACCGTTGTTCGGGTGCACGTGAAGAGTGACCTCTGGGGTGAGAGTGACCGCTGGTGCGCGGCAGAGCGGGGGACGCGGGGTGGCCAAACCTGGGCGCGCAAGCCGCTGCCACCGCTTCGCGCTCAGCGATCGGGGGACCCCATTGGGCCCGCACCAGAGGTCTCCCCGGCGAGAGGTCACTCTTACGTGTAGTCGAGTTTTACAGGACCGCAAAGCGGCACGGACACATGTTTTTGACAGTCCGCGCGGATGTCTTAGATCCGCGCAGATCCCCCCTCCCTGTCGCGCACAGCGCGCCAGGGGCGGCGCAGGAGACGCCGCCAGGGGAGCCCAGCGCCAGATCCAGAAATTCGCGCGGACCGCCGGAAGTCTGTGTTTGTGCTGTTCTTTTTGTTCTTCGGACTGTCTGCGCGGCAGCATCTCTTCAGCGGACGAAGAACGGTATGACACAATTGTTTCCGCCGTCGGGGGCGCTTGCCCGTCGGGGACGCATGCCCCACGGCCACTGCGAAGTTTATGCCCGACGTGCCACCGTGCGTGCGAAAACGTTCCAGCCGCCCTGAGGCAGGCGTCCCCAGGGGGGACGAGTTTATTCTATACCGTTCGTCTGCCAATCTCTGTCGCCCACTGTCCTCCCTATCCGCCGGGGGGTACCAGAGGCGTCCCTGGCCACAAGTGCCCCCAGCCTTTCGAACCCCGTTGGAGTCGGGGCCCTCCTGGCCTCGTGAGCGGTGCTCCGAGGGGTCATCTGGGCATCCCGTGAAATCCTGGGGACACCTTGGGCCAGGAACACCTTCGGCAACGTCCGACTCTCCTCGCCACCCCCACGCCATCAACCCTCCCCATCCCCTCCCCTCCCCATCCCCTCGAGCTTCGACCCACGGTCCTGCACCCCACCACTTGCGTCGACCCATCCCTCAAAAGTCGGCTTCCCGACTTTTCCACGGGTGGGAACCCAGCCGCGGCGACGAGAACACCCCAGGAGGCCCACAGACAGTGCAAAAAAACACGCACGCACACGAACCTTCAATGCTCGAACCTCCCACCCCGTCCCTCGCCCGTCCCTTCCCCTCTCCTCCTGTGCCATGCGAACGGATAGCGTGTCGCTCCGCGTCGCGGGGCCGACCGGAACAGCTCGGCACGTGGATCCTTGGGACCGCGAGATGGATAGCGTGTCGCGCCGAGGCGTGGTAGGCTAGAACCAACGGAGCGACACGATATCCAAAAGTCCCCGGCCGCATGTTTTGTTCGATGGGGACGCAGCGACGAGATGGGTCTGTGGGGGCACTGACCACGTGCACCACGTGCCGCGCGGGCTCTTGGACCCCCGCCAGCCTCGTTGAGCGAGTTGCCGTGGTGTTCCCCCTCCTGGTCCAGCGAGTGAATCTCGGGGTCCTGGGAGGAGGAGGAGGAGGAGGAGGAGGAGGAGGAGGAGGAGGAGGAGGAGGAGGAGGAGGAGGAGGAGGAGCAGCACCAGGAGGAGGAGGAGGAGGAGGAGCAGCAGGAGGAGGAGGAGGAGCAGCAGCAGGAGGAGGGGAGACATCATGCATGAGGAGGGAAGGGGTGAGGAAGAGGAAGAGTTGGAGGTGGATGAGGATGGAGGATGGGGGTGGGCCAGGGCGGCGAGGAGCTCGGCAGCAGCAGGTGCCCCGCGCGGCGCCTCCTGTGAGGGCCGCGCCCGCGCCGCCGTGCGGCCCCGACGCGCCCGGAGCGGAGCGGAGAGGCCGCACGGCAGCCACTCCTCCTCCTCCTCCTCCTCCTCATCCTCCTCCTCCTCCTCCTCCTCCTCCTCCTCCTCCTCCCTCTCCTCCTCCTCCATCCTCCTCCTCCTCCTCCTCCTCCTCCTCCCCCTCCTCCTCCTCCTCCTCCCTCCTCTCCTCCTCTCCTCCCCTCCTCCTCCTCTGGGAGCGGCCGCCATTTTAGACGGCTGGCCACCCACGGGGGAGCCGCCGTCCCTGAGGGACGGCCGGCGGAGGCGTCTGCCAACTCCAGCTCACAGTGCGCCGGGCGATGGAGAGTCCCGCCCACACCGTGGGAGGAGGAGGAGGAGGAGGAGGAGGAGGAGGAGGAGGAGGAGGAGGAGGAGGAGGAGGAGGGGGAGGAGGAGGAGGAGGAGGACATTTGACGTTTGCCTCTCTTGCCTGGCCTTGGTCCAGGCGGGGGGAGGGGGCTTCGATCTCTGGACGAGCCTGCCCGCAGCGCGAAGTGCCTGGGAGGGAGGGGCAGGACGGGAAGCAGGAGGAGCAGGAGGAGTGGCGTTGAAGGAAGGGAGAGGAAGGATGTGGGGAGGGCAAGGAGGGATAAGAAACAGGATCAAAAACACAGGCGATGTCTCACCAACATCTACTTACATATAAATTATTGGGCCGAACCCCCCGACCAAATCCGTCCATGCACTCTTTCTCTTGGCATTGGGGAGGGGACTGCGAGCGGAGCCCAACCCTCGTGTAACTGGGCTCGCCCGAACATCCCGTAACTATGGAGGGGGGAGGCGGCCGAGGGACGACGGCGGGGGGTGGACCCGAGAGAGGAGGGCGTGGGCATCTCACAAGTATCTGGGAGCCGGCTCCAGCTGGCGGCGTAGCTCGGCCGGAGAGGAGTTCTGTCGCAAGCATTGGCTTGCGAGGAGGAGGAGGAGAAGGAGGAGAGGAGGAGAGGAGGAGAGGGAGGACGAGGAGGAGCGTGAGGAGGCGGAGGGAAAACATATTCGGAGGAGGACCGCGAGGGCTGAGAGAAGAGGGGGGAGAGGGAAGAGGAGAGGAAGCAGGAGGAGAGGATGCGAAGAGCAGGCCCTGAAGCAAGAGAACTATGATGCGGAGGAGCGGACGGACGACCAGGAAACGGATGGGGGGGGGGGGGGGGGGCAGCGGCCGCGCCGCCAAGAGGGACTCGCAACGCCGCTGGCGAGAGAGGAGGCGGCGAAGGGGGGGGGGGGGGGGCGAAGACGAGGAAGGAGTTGTTTGTGAAGGGAGGAGGATGAGGACGAGAGCGGGCTCACTGAAAGCGAAAGTCGGACCTTGGACAGAAGAACACCCTTCGAGAACATGAGGCCCTCCACTGGCCAAAGCGCACAGAACCTCCTAGGGTACCCCCCCTGGGGTGCACAAGGACATCCAACAAGCACGCAGAACACGAGGGCACCCTCCCCGAACGGACCTCGATCTTATACCTCGGCGGTCCGACTGTAGGAGAATTGAAAGCAAACTTGCTGCTACTTTCAGTGTTGTTTGCTATGGGGGAAGCAGGAGGGGGCCTGTGTCCTGGCGGAGAGGACGCACGCCTGGCGGTGCAGATGTGGAGACGGGGGGGGGCGGGCGAGGACAAGGGCAAGGGCCCGTAAAGAAGGAGAGCACGCACGCAAAAGGAGTGGGCGGCCAGGAGGGGGAGGAGCAGCAGCAGCAGCAGCAGCATGAGGACGGCGAGGAAGACAGGGGGAAGGAGGAGGAGGAACCATTCCAAATCACCCTCGCGCTCGGGTCGCGAGCTTCGTCGCCGAATGGACGAAACATGTTAGCCAGCGTGGGCCCGAAACGATGATTTCTTCAAATATCTGCGGTGCAGTCTAAGTGGTGCAACTACTGTAGTGCAATCCAGGCGGTGCAATCCATGTGGCGCAATTGCAGTGGCACGCAGAAATGCCAAGCAATGTAACACAATGCCAAAACACTGCAAAGCAATGCAGCGCAATGCAAAGCAATGCAAAACAACACAACCCAATGCAAGCTAATGCCACACGATGCATTTCAATGCAACGCAATGTAACGCAATCCAGCGCTATACAGCGCAGTGCAGCGAAATGCAAGGCGATGCAAAATAGTGCAACGAAACATAATGCAACACAATGTACAGCAATGAGATGTCATGAGAAGCAATGCGAAGCAATGCAATGCAATGCAAAGCAACGCAATGGCATTCCAACGCGCATTCCAACGCGAATCAACCCAACTGCGACGAAGGCGACGGTCGGCGGCGATACGGCGACGAGCCCGCCGGGCCGGCATCGGGGCCCGGTTACCAGCGGCGACGGCGGCGGCTACGGGCGGCGACGGGCGGCGACGAGCACCGGAGCTCAGTTACCTTAGAAGTCAAGCGGGATTATCCAAGTGCAAGCAGAGTCTGCGGACGGTTGACAAACTGCATAGGCATAAACGCTTCCTGCCTCTGCGCTGGACCTCCTTACCTGGTGCGCGGGGCGCGACAGGAGTCCAGCGTCGAGCCAAGAAATCCACGCGGAGCTCCGACAATTTACACGTCGTTTATTTCTAATCGTGCTCATTTCTAATTGTGCTCGTTTCTAAGCGTTCCTGGCCCTCGAGTGGCCAGGAAGAGGCCCAGGACAGCACAAGCAGAGATGAAAGGAGCGTGGCCCCCAAAAAATCAAGGAACTCTCGAAGAATTAGAAATACAGAGTGTATGTTTCTAATGTGAAATTAATTATTTGACGTGGGGCCCTCGTCCGCGCATCGCTGGTTCGGCAGGGAGGAGACAGGTCGTGTGGGAAATGGGCCCCGGACACTGCAGGCCTTCCCCTGGGAGCAGTACTTCATCCCGAGCAGTTTGTTGAGGAGGGAGGAGGAGGAGGAGGAGGAGGAGGCGGAGGAGGAGGAGGAGGAGGCGGAGGAGGAGGAGGAGGAGGAGGAGGAGGAGGAGGAGAGGGAGGAGGAGGAGGAGGAGGAGAAGGAGGAGGAGAAGGAGGAGGAGGAGGGGTGTTCGTTCATTTCCAGTTGTGCTCGTTTCTACTTGCTTCTGGCCCCCTGGTGGCAAGGAAGAGGCCCAGGATAACACAAGTAGAGATGAAAAGAGCTTGGCTCCCCTAAAAAAAATCAAGGAACCTTCGGATAATTAGACATGAACAATGTGTACTTCATCCTGGACGATTTGTTGAAGGGTGTTAGGGCCCTTGCAGGACCCCCATGAGCCAGAAAACAAAGAAAAACCTCAGGACCCACATAGAATCAAGACCCACCTGCTGTACCTTGACGCCCGACATGGGTACGGTGAGAATGATCACGACGCCTGACAGCACATGCCGTCCAGAACCAACAGCGACCGCTGTTGGGCGGGCGGCCTGCTGTCTCAAATAGACAACGCCCGTGTTGACCCCGACAGCGAGGCCTGTCCACAATGGTCAGGCACTGTCGTCGGTCCTCGTACCCCTTGTTTGGCACCCATGTCGGGCCGCCAGAAATCATGGCGGAGCTTCGTCCCCCCACTTGAGCATGGACCGACCGTCCCGGCATTCCTATAGGCCTACCACGACATGTTGTCCGAAGCCCAAGATATTCTTATAACAACAACAAGGTTCTTATAACATGCACCCGGTATGTAAAAACAAAACAGTCTCAACCAAAATATTCGGAGAACGCTTTGCGCAGACCTCAAGAGGTTATTCTAACATTCTTTGGTGGACCTACAGGCAAGCCGGGACGATTCGCCACTGCTCGACGCACAATCCTCGCCGCCGTGGTGGCGCGGAATGAGCGCACCGGGAGGGTCGAAGCCGGACATGTTCACGTCGTAGACCTCGCCGCCGTGGCCGTCACCCGCCGCTCCTGGAGGCGCCGCGCCGCGGGGCGGGAGGGAGCCGCGTTTGCGCTGAACCCTGAACCCCTCCACGTACGTGCTGGCAGACTCCGCCCACCCCGCTCCCTCCCAGCCGACTGGGGACTGGGTGCAGGACGCTCCACCCGCACGAGGGGGCCCAACCGTGCACCTGGCGGGAGGCCCCTGTGCGAACCCTCCCCGACCCAGAGCTTGGCCGCCTGCAGAGCCCAGCTCTCCGCCCGCCAACATGAAGAGCAGTCGGGGGCACCAGCAAGCGCGAGGAACACCACACAGGGCAGCCTCCCCGAACCGACCTACAGTGCGGGCGCGGCCGCAAGGAACCCTCTCAAAAAAAACAACCCTGAAAACCCGCGCGCGCGAGGTGCACCTGAGGGTAAACCCAGAGCGCCCTGAACGCAGCAGCTGCTTCAAAGGCTGCGGGAAGTCACCGCGCAGCGCGCGGAGCAAAGAACCCCAGGATGCCCTGACGGAAAGCAGATGGTTTCTTCATGCGCGCCCCCACTGTATGCCTTATACCTCGGTCCGCCTGTACCCCGCTCCCCCCCGGCCGACTGGCGAAGGGGGGCAGGAAGCTCCACCCGCACGAGGGGCCCAACCAGGCACCCGGCGGGGCGCCCCCTGTTCGAAACCTCTCCCTGGCTTTGCTCGGACGTCCCTCCCCCGTGCATCTCTCGGCTCCGTGCGCGATTGATTTTTGATCGATAATCCAGGATGCTCCCCGATGGTCCTGACCGAGATGGAGGAGGAGGAGGAGGAGGAGGAGGAGGAGGAGGAGGAGGAGGAAGACGAGGAGGAGGAGGGAGGAGGAGGAGGAGGAGGAGGAAGACGAGGAGGGAGGAGGGAGGAGGAGGAGGAGGAGGAGGAGGAGGAGGGAGGGAGGAGGAGGAGGAGGAGGAGGAGGAGGAGGAGGGGAGGAGGAGGAGGAGGAGGAGGAGGAGGAGGAGGGAGGAGGAGGAGGAGGAGGGGAGGAGGAGGAGGGAGGAGGAGGAGGCGGAGGAGGAGGAGGAGGGAGAGAGGAGGAGGAGGAGGAGGAGGAGCACAAGTGCAGCGATGCCAAGTCCCCCGGACCCAGGCCCAAGCCGCCCGCAGAGCCCAGCCCTGGGCGTGCCGCGGGCGGCCCTCCTCTCGCCTCCGCGCCCTCCGCGCCCTCCGCCCCCTCTCGACCCCACTCCATCCTCGCATGCTCGGTCCATCCCTCCCTCCTCGCCCCCTCGCCTCCAGCGACTCCCCCCCCTCGATCCACCAGCCACCCCTCCCTCCCCGACCCTCGCGTGCTCGGTGCTCCCCTCCCTCCTCGCCTCCTCGCCTCCGACGTCCCCCCTCGATCTGCACTCCTTTCCACTCTTGGAGCAGGGACCAACCGTCCCGGCATTCCTATAGTCCTACCACGAAGTGTTCTTAGAACCCCAAACATGTTCTAATAACCAAAACAGTGCTCTTAGTTCTAAGAACATGTCGTGGGAACCACAAAAGATCCTTAGAACATTGTTGTGTAGGGCTGTAGGCGGGCCAGGACGCTTCGCCACTGCTCGACACTTCCGGCGGCTCCCCACTCGGAGCGCCTGCCCGGCCCGGCCCCGCGGCGCGGCACTCCTGTCGTGCGAGCGCGCCCCGCGGACCCTCCCTCCCTCGGGGCCACCGGCCCGTCGGCTGGCGCCCCTCGCCTCCTCGACCCTCGCCCCCTCGACACTCGCCCCCTCCTCGCCCCCTCCCTCCTCGCCCCCCGCCCCCCCCCGCCCCGCAGCCCCCCCGCCTCCTCGACCCTCAAAGCCCCCATCGACCCTTCCCTCCCTCCTCGCCTCTCTCCCTCCTCGCCCCCCCGCGACGCCCCCCCCCAGCCCGCGCGCACGGCTGCGGCAGGGGCTCCCGCGCGGCCCGTTGCGCGGCGGATCCCGGCGCCACCCTCGACGCCGACGGCCGCGTCCTCGGCAGGCCCGCGGCGACAGAGGGTACATGAGGCAGGCCCATGATGCCCTCTCCTCCTCCCTCCTCCTCCTCCATCCTCCTCCTCCTCCTCCTCTTCCTCCCCCCCCTCCTCCTTCGTCCTCCTCCTCATCCCTCCTTCTCCCTCCTCTTCCTCCTCCTGCCTCGTTCCCCCATCCCTGTTCCCCTCCTCGTAATCGTGATGCTCATCCGCGTCGTCCCGCTCATCCTCGTCCTTCGGCGGCCGTTACCATGTGTGCGCATGTATACGTATGACCCCCGCCTCCTTCTCTCCTTTTCCTGATCAGCCGCTCCCCCTTGTCTGACGGCCAGACGCGTCGGAAGGGCAGAACGGACATTTCTCCTGCGACCTCCTTCCCCTTTTATGACCCCCGAACTGTATATCTTCAACACTTTCCACGGACTAAGGGGGCTGTGTTAGAAACGCGTCTCAGCTTAGCGCCGCGCACCGCTGTCTGGAAACAACACTCATACGGATTGAAGGAGGGGCGTTCTCAACATGCGGTTGTCGCTTAGCGCCGCGCACGTTCGACTTCAAGGCTTCCAAGCTTCCAACACCTACTCGGACGGAGTGTGTGTCATTTTCACACTGTGGCTCTCGCCAAACCGTTGCGCATGTCGTTTGCAAATATTCCAGCAGATGCACGGGTGGACAAGGGGAGTTTGAAGGATAGGATTCTTGCTGAGCGCCGCGCGCACACGTCTGTAAACTGCCACCACCTACTCGGGCGGAGGGTGGGCCGTTGTCGCACTTGGCTATCGCTTCAGCACCGTGCACACTACCCCAGACAGATCACTACTGCTACACGGGTGGAAGGGGCCTGAGTTCAAACTATGGCTCTCCCCTGCCGCGCGCATCCGCCTTGCGCCTTGGCATGCTCCAACACTTCGCACCACGGCGTGCCCGAGCGCGCGCGCGGACTGCCTCTGCCGCGCTGCGGCGTGAGACAAGTTCCAACGAGTGGGCAGGTGGAGCGGGGGGGGGGGGAAGCGTTTCCAGAATGAGGGCTCCCGCATCATGCACCACCACGCACCAGCGACTCGAAACCTGACCAACTGCTGCACGGATGCTAGGGCGGCGCCTTCTCGGAACAGATCACGCTCGTGGGAGGCCTTCCTGCGAACGCACGGCTGGCAACTCCAACGGCCGCGGCTACTGCTCAGGTGGAGGGCCGATCCCTTTCACATCGGGGCCTTGGGTTGAGACTTCTGCTCGAGCCTGATGACTGTGAGCTTAAGCTCTGAGAACAGTGCCTCCGAGTGCTGGCGGATCTGCTTGACAGCGGAGCTCTCGCTATACACTTCCATGGACCTGATGATCACGCGCTGTCGCTAGCCGTGCAGCTAGAAGCACTGTTTGCAGCTCATGTTCAAAACTGGCACTTCGCTTGACCTGCTAGACCGAATGGCGATCGCCTCTCAACGGGGCACTTCACGCAATAACTCAGGACTTGTTAAAAGAATTCATTGGGAAGAGACTGGGAACGGATGGGCATGTTGCAGCACCGTGAACGTATATTGGGTTTACTCGAGTCCTCGTCTTGGCGCAAAGCTGAGGCGGACACAGGTCCATCAGCTCACTACTCTTCGTACTTCTGCGAGACGAGGGCAGGCGATAGACCCGTGGGAGATGTAGGTCATGTGCGAACGTTGTTGCTGAAGTGAACGGTGTCGTCTATTGGATTGAGCGATTCTGGGCCATGATTCGCGAGGGCGAGGAGGTCGTGCGTTGTTCTTTCTCCTCCTCCTCCTCCTCCTCCTCCTTCTCCTCCTCCTGGGGAAACCAGAAAGGTACCAACACTGCTACTCCCCGGACCTCTCCCGGGGTGCGTTCTGACCAGAATTCCGAGGCGAACCCAGTAGTGGCGACGAAGGCCTCCCAGGGGCTCAACAAAAAAGAAAACGCGGCACGGGCAGCGGTATCGCTGCTAGGCGAACCCAGTAGTGGCGACGAAGGCCTCCCAGGGGCTCAACAAAAAAGAAAACGCGGCACGGGCAGCGGTATCGCTGCTATTTCTTTCTCTGACGACCTCCTCCTCCTCCTCCTCCTCCTCTTCCTCCTCCTTCTCCTCCTCCTCCTCCTCCTCCTCCTGCTCCTCCTCCTCCTCCTCCTCCTCCTCCTCCTCCTCCTCCTCCTCCTCCTCCTCCTCCTCCTCCTCCTCCCCCTCTTGGCAAGCAACCGCGCGGTACACCTGGGCCCGCCAGCACCTCCACCCCCCACACGCCACCACCCCGCGCGGTGGACGGGGCGAACTCTGGCTCGGGGGGGTGGGGCCGCGCTGCTGCTCCCATCCTCCAGATTCTCAGGGGGGAGGAGGAGGAGAAGGAGGGACGAGGAGGAGGAGGAGGAGGAAGAGGAGGAGGAGGGACGAGGAGGAGGAGGAGGATTCTGGACTCTGGATTCTTGATCTGGCGCGCCACGAGACTGGCGCGTCCCACGAAGACACGAGAAAGAGGAACCATCATGCATCAAATATCCCTGTAAGGAACTAGTGCAATACTACATTGAAAAGCCGTTCCCACAAGATGGGCATCACCAATTCTGGACCCGATCCTAGTGTGCCGCCCGTCCATCAAATGCTGGAAACGACTTGGCTATGTCAGAAGAAGGTGTATTGAGGCAAAGCCTGGTTAGGTGGGAGCCGTTGGTCGACGAGTGGGCTCCACATTGATGACATAATGCAAGTTGCCCCACTCGTCGCACAACGTGTAACGTGGCCTGTCCCATGTGGCATGGGGCACGACTGCTCTGCCAACTCCCACCGGTGCATACTGGAGAGCTGCAATCTATACACCTATATCTGTTGGTGACAGGGTCGTGCACTACAAAGTGAGAAGTGCCCTCAGCTGGCCGCCCAGGGTAACTGGAGGAACACACCAGGGATCTCGGAGCCTCTTCGGAGCCCAGGGCAACGTGAGCTCAGACAGACAATGCGCAATCACTCTACAAAGGAAAATAGCAAGGCTCCGAATCAGCAACTCGGCAGGAGGAGAGAAGGAGAAGGGAAGGGAGGAGACAGAGGAGTAGGCGGAGGAGGACGCGGTGGAGGAGGCAAACCGTCTGGTCCTCCTCCGCCTCCACCTCCTCCTCCCCACTCCTCCTCACCCTCCCCTCCCCCCAAGTCATCTTATCCTGCACCATTCGTTCTCCTCCATCCACTCGTCATCATCTCCAAATATAGTTTTTCTTTCCTCCTCCTCGTAATGCTCCCTCTACCTCGCCGTCGTCTTGCTCCTGCTCCTCAGCGTCTCCCCTCTCCCTCTAGCTCCTCGTCCTCCCTCCTCATCCTCCTGCTCCTCCTCCTCCTCCTCCTCCTTCTGCTGCTCCCTTCCTCCTCCTCCTCCTCCTCCTCGTGTTCCTCCTCGCCCCCCTCCTGTCTTCCTTCTGCCCACCAGGATTAGTGGGTGAGCCTACGTCCTTGAGCAGCGCGCCGACGTCGGGGCTGGTCGTGACGACTGCGTCTGGGCGGAGGTGACAGGAGGAGGGAGAGGAGGGAGGAGGGGGGCGGGAGGAGGAAGACCGGGGTGGAGGATGCCGATGAGGAGAAGGAAGAAGAGGAATGGGAGCAGGACGAGGAGGAGTAACAGGAGGAGGAGGCGAGGATGAGGAGCAGCAAAGAGGTGAAGGAGTTGAAAGGGCAGGAGGATGAGCAGGGGGAGAGGGATGAGGCAAGGACAAAACGAGGATGCGGTGGAGAATGCGGCCTGCGCAGAGCGCCGCGGGGGTGCTGCAGGCTGGGGCCGAACTTCCACAGAAAAAGAGCTGCGTCTTGCACTCAACTGACCTCCGTCAATCCTGTCATTGCTTCGTGCCAGAACCTTTCCGCAACGAACCATGTGAATATTGAGATGCCATCAAGCCATCTTCGCTCAGGCCTGACTTGGCGCCTTGAGGATGCCAGCATGGATGCTCAGTCGGGGAATCGCAAGATGACGATTGCGCCACGTGCTGAAGCCATCTCATGTTTGGCGCCGTTGTTGTTGAACCCAGGCTGATCATGCAAGTATCCAACTCGAACGTGCTGTTTTGCGCCACGCCGACCAAACATTCCAAACCGTGTTCGCCATCCGCGTATGATGCTTACTGTCTGACTGCTGCTGCACGTAGCCACTATAGGTCTTTCGTACCGCTCCTCCCCAAAATAATGGGTACACATTCTTCGGGTGGCCTAATCAGGGGTTGCCTACACCCAACAATGATCGGCAACTAATTACTCCGCCGCCGCCGCCGTCGCCCAGGAAGCCGCCGCCGCCGCCGTCGCCCAGGAAGAGGAGGAGGAGGAGGAGGACAGGGCGAACCATGGGACGCGCAGAGTTGATTGCTAACAGAGAGCTTTGGGGCGGGAAGCCAGCAGGATTAAGGACTACGGACCTCCCCTGGTTGCACTGGTCACGTCCGATCCACTGTATGCAATGTATACGCTTCCTGTGCTTGCCTTGTGCTCTGGCGGACGGAGCGAATATTCACGGTGCTCCGAGATACGCCGGGGTGGATGGATGATGCTGATCATGCGAAGCATCTGGCGTTGTGTGGATATGCCTCGACTCTAAAATTCATGGGTCAATGCCCATGCTTCGCATCCATAAAGCATGGTGGGCGCGATGACTCTGATGCAGCGTGAGTTGACATGAGAGGGAGCAGGAGGACCTGGAGTAGGAATGCGAAGACAATGATTTTGAGGGGCAAAAAGGTGAACGAATCACAAGTTGAGGGACCCAACCATATGCCTATGTGACCACCGCAGTTGTGAGTATCGTCTTCGGTGGTGCTCCATATGGGCCACGAAACGATGTACTGGGTGGGGAGACGCATACGACATTTGCCGCTGGGGCCTTTGGTGGAGCTCCCTACGGGCTACGAAACGCTGTACCGGGTGGGAGGGACGCATGCGTGCGGTAGCACTGGGACAATCGGTGGATTCCCCTATGGGGCCATGAGGCGTGCGAGGTTTGTGCCGGCTGTACTGGGTGGAGGGGACGCATGCGGACGGTGCTGCTGGGGACATACGGTGGACCCACCTAAAGGCCACGGAACGCTTTACTGGAGTCGGGAAACGCATGCGTATGGGGCTAGGATGCGTTGGAGTGAGTGGGGAGGACTCATGTGGACGGTGCCATTGAAGTCTTCGGTGGGGCTCCCTATGAGGCCACGAAGCCCTGTGACGCATGCGAACGATTCCACTGGGGTCTTCGGTGGAGCTCCCTATGGGGCCACGAAGCGCTGTACTGGGTGGAGGGGACGCATGCGGACGGTGCCGCAGGGGACTTCGGTGGAACTCCCGATGGGGCCACGAAGCGCTGTCGTGGGTGGAAGAGACGCATGCGGAAAGTGCTACTGGGGCCTTCGGTGCAGCTCCCTATGGGGCCACGAAACGTTTGCGCCGTCTGTGGAGCTCCCATATGGGGCCACAAAGCGCTGTACTGGGTGGGGGGACGCATGCGGGCGGTAGCGCTGGAACCTTCTGTGGACCCCCCTATTGGGCAACGAAACATTGCACTGGGGCCGCTGGTGGATCTCCTGATGGTGCCACGAAAAACTGTATTAGGTGGGGGGGACGCACGCGGGCGGTAGCACTGGGTCCCGATGGGGCCGCGAAAAACTGTACCAGAGGGGGGTGGACGCATGCAGGCGGTAGCGCTGGGACCTTCGGAGGGGCTCCCGATGGTGACACGAAACGCTGTGCTGCGTGTGGGTCCGCAGGCGGGCGGGAACACTGGGGCATTCGGTGGAGCTCCCGATGGAGCCACGACGCGCTGTACTGGGTGGGGGAGACACAGGCGCGCGGTAGCACCTGGACCGTAGGTGGATTTCCCGAAGGGGCCACGAAACGCTGTACTGGGTGGGGGCGACACAGGCGCGCGGTATCACTTGGACCTTCGGTGGAGCTCCCTATGGGGCCACGAGACGCTGTACTGGGTGGAGGGACGCATGCGTGCGGTAGCACTGGGACAATCGGTGGATTCCCCTATGGGGCCATGAGGCGTGCGAGGTTTGTGCCGGCATGATGGACTGATGCGGAGAGCAGAGGCCAGGGTGGGAGGAAGGAGGAGGGGGGAGGGGGAGGGAGAAGCGGGGCTTGGTCTGGGGATAAAAGGAAAAAGGAACATCAGGAGTGCGAGGCGGTGGGGTATGAAGCATACTAGGAATGATCATGATGGTGCTGACGAGGAAGTGAAGCGGTGGGCAGAGAAGGGACATGAGCATGAGCAGGAAGAAGCAGGCAACGAGGACGAAGAGAGGCGAACACACATTGCAAAACGAGCATCGATGGATGATGTTAGTCAGCGTGGGCCCCGATCGGTATTCCTAACAACATATGGTGTGCACTGCCGGATGGGCACTCTATGATGTGCACTATGGGCGGTCCAACCTACGTTGTGCACTACACTTTCTGTTATCTATGTGGTGCAATCCGTTTGGTGCAACGAATTTCTGATCGCAGTGAGTTATCCACTCCACTACTCGCGCAAACATCCCACCCACCCGCCCGCAACTTGGTTTGCAAACCTCATGCGGCGGCGCTTGCGATGAGTGTTTGGCGCTGGCTGGTGCATCTTTGCGGCCGCGCCAGCCCGCGCATGCGCGCGCGCAGCGGCCAGGTAGTTTGGCGCGACCGACGCGGCCGCCGTGGTGCTGCCCGGTCGGCACATCCAGGCGGGCATTTGAGTGCCAGTCGGCGGTTTCGGCGGGTGCGGTATTATGACAACGTCGACAACTTTAGAAACGACTATGATGATATAAGCGATGTTTGTGACGATGCTAAGAGCGACGACGGCACGGCCACTGACGGGGCCGATGCTGATCGCGCAGACGGCGATGACCGCGTCTTCGCGTCGGTGATGAAGGTTTTGAAACGAATTTGAAATGCGCGCGGCAGACGCGCGAGAGCGGCCCACACTAAATGTTGAAGTCCTTCCGGAGCCGCAGGGTTCTAAAGGATTTCGGCATGCGCGCGCGACGACGCGCGCGCGTGCACTTCGTCCTGTTGTTTGCAAAAGAATTCTCGCGACGGCACGCGCGCAAAGGCGTCCGAACGATTTCGACACGCGCGCGGGCGATGCCCGTGTGGTAGCATTTTCTGATTGTTTGCTTAAATCATTCGCAAGAACGCGCGCATGATTTTGTTGAAAATCCGTGTTGCGAGACACTATGTGTTTATATGTGTTTGGACACTCCATGTTTGAATCTTTCCGACACATAAATGTGTTTGAATGATTTCGGCATGCGCGCGCGACGACGCGCGCGTGCGCACTTCGTCCCATGTGTTGCAAGGGATTCTTGCAAACTACTGATTTGTGATAAGCCAGTGCGCGCACATAGTATATTTTGCATAGGATGGCGTGGGGGTGATACCGGCCTGGCTGGGATTGTCAGAGTGAGGGGGCCGAACGGTCATTCACTGTCCCTGGGTGCGTGGCTGAAGTGGAATTCCGCGGTGCGGATTATCGTTGTTGTTGTTGTTTGTTGTTGTTGTTTGATGTTGTTATTGTTGTTGTTGTTTGTTGTTGTTGTTTGTTGTCGTCGTCCCACCCGCAACCCGCCCCGCGACCCACCCGCGACCCAACCCGCAACCCACCCCGCGACCCACCCGCGACCCACCCGCGACCCACCCCGCGACCCACCCCGCGACCCACCCCGCGACCCACCCCGCGACCCATCCCGCGACACACCCCGCGACCCACCCCGCGACCCGCCCGCGGCCCACCCCGCGACCCACCCGCGACCCACCCGCGACCCACCCGCGACCCACCCGCAACCCACCCGCGACCCACCCCGCGACCCACCCGCGACCCACCTTCGACCCAAACCACGTTCAAGGTACAAACCAACATTTTCGGCGCCTGCGGCGGGCTTTTTTGCAGTCCTTCCAGATGGAGAACCCGCGACCAACCTGCGACCCAAACCACGTTCGGGGTACAAACCACATTTTTCGGCGCCTGCGGCGGCCATCTTTTGCATTCGTTCTGGGTGGAGAGACCGCGGCCCACCCGCGACCACGTGCAGGGTACAAACCACATTTTTCGGCGCTTGCGGCGGGCATCTTTTGCATTCATTCTAGGTGGAGAACCCGCGGCCCACCCGCGACCCAAACCACGTTCAGCGTACAAACAATTTTTGTTCGGCGTTTGCGGCGGGCTGCTTTTGCAGGAGGACGAAGAGGAGGAGGAGGAGGAGGAGGAGGAGGAGGAGGAGGAGGAGGAAGGGGACGACGACGACGACGACGTCGACGACGACGACGACGGCGACGACGACGACGACGAAAAGGAGGAGGGGGGAGGATCGGGAAGGGGGGGGGAGAGGAAGACGGCGAGGAGGAACATGACGACAATGGGAGGGCGATGATGGAAGGGCGAGGGGGAGAGAGGGAGGACGAGGAAGAAGAGGAGGAGGAGGAGGAGGAGGACGAGGTGGAGGAGGAGGAGGACGACGACGATGACGATGAGGACGAGGACGAGGACGAG